CATCTTCCCGAGAGTAGATTCCATTTCAAACAACCACTTTCTTTTTTCATCCATATCTGTTAAAGTTTTTATCATGAGATTGCAACAATTCAGTCACATCATCAGGCTTCACTTCTAATTTTAGTTCTCTTATTATTTCCATCACACCTGTAGGTACTTCCTCCACTAACATCCTGAACACCTCAAATGACTGTTTTGTTAACAGGCATGAAAACAACATTAATCTCCTGTACATCTACATCAGAACTCTTGGCGACCAGGTGCATGGTCAATGAGCAGTAATATTTTGTAAGGAATCTTTTTTTCTGAGAAGTAGGTCTCACCAGTGGGCTTCAAATATTCAGTAAGCTATAAATCTTTTCCTTTAATGTGCTACCATCCAGGCTTTGTTGTTCCATTCCTAGAGCACAGGAAGAGTAGATTTAGCATAATTCTTCAAAGCCCTAGGATTTCTGGAATGGTGAATGGGCATTGGCTTCAACTTCAAGTCACCAACTACATTATTCCCTAACAAGATTGTTAGTCTGAAGCTTTGAAGCCAGGTGTTGATGTTTCTGCTAGCTATGAAAGTCCTAGATGGCATCTTTTCCCAATAGAAGGCTGTTTTTTCTGCATTGAAAACCTGTTGTTTAGTATAGCCAGTTACATCATTATCTTAATGAGATCTTCTGAATAACTTGCTTCAGCTTCTACATCAACACTTACTGTTCCACCTTGTACTTTTATGTTTGGTGATGGCTTCTTTCCTTAAATGTCATGAACCAACCTCTGCCAGCTTCAGACTTTTCTTCTGAAGCTTCTTCACCTCTCTCAGGCTGCATAGAAATGAAGAGAATTAGAGCCTTGCCCTGGATCTGGCTTTGACTGAATGGAATGTTGTGGCTGGTTTGATCTTCTATAAAGACCACTCAAACTTTCTCCACATCAGCAGTAAGGATGTTTTGCTTTCTTATAATTCATGTGTTCACTGCAATAGAACTTTCAACTTCCTTCAAGAACTTTTACTTTGCATTTACAACTTTTGGCCTATCTTTCCTTTCATCATGCCTTCCTCACTAAGCTTAATCATTTCTAGTTTCTGTTTTAAAGTGAGAGATGTGCAACTCTTCCTTTCACTTGGACACTTAGAAGCCATTGTGTGGTTATGAGTTGGCTTAATTTCAATATTGTGTGTCTCAGGGTTTAGGGAGACCTGAAGAGAGGGAGTGAGAGAAGGACATGGCCATTTGGTGGAACAGTCAGAACACACACAACATTTATTGATTAAATTTGCCATCTCATAGGG